CCCTCGGCTACCTCGGGCGCTGCCCTGCGGCGCCGAGCTGCCCGCCCTGCCCGAGCTGCAGCCTCTCCTGCGCGCGCGTCGCGTGCCCAGCCGCGCCGCCGTGCCCGGCTTGCCCCGCGGGGGCCTACTCAGCGGCCGCGCCCCAGGAGGCGCCAGCCGCTCCGCGGGGCCCTCAGGCGCCGCCCACCGGGCCGTGCCTGGAGCCAGCGCCCTGCGCGGGCGGGTCAGGAGGCTGGTGGATCTTCCTGCTGGGCCTCATCGTCGGCGTGCTCCTGAGCGTGCTGGCCTGTGCAGCCTGGCGAGCGGCGGTGGCAGCCGCCCGTGCCCTGGTCGCCCCTCGGGCGAGGCCTGACGCCCCCGCCCTGGCGGACGAGCTGCCCGCCCCCGCCGCCATCCCAGGCGGTCCCTCAGAGGCGACACCATCGACCTTGAGGAGGCGGCATGGCCCGCGCGCTAGACGTTCCAGAGCGGCAGATCTTAGTAGATTTTTTCGACGACCCCAACGGGTTTCGATGGCATAGGCGATTGCTCGTCCTGGCCACGCCCAACCCTGGGCAGTGGATATGTTCGACGCCAGACCTGAGCATTCAGTTCATCGGCGTCACCACCCACAGGGTGATCCCCCTCACGCGGGACTCGGAGTTCCCGCGGCGGGTCAGAGGCGAGGTCGACGCCTTCGATCCGTTGACCCCCGAGGAGCTCCAGCAGGTCCGCCGAGAGGTCAAGGAGCTGCTGGCCGTCTACGGGCTCACGAGGGGCGCGGACGCGCAGCCCGAGGGTGGGCGCTGGCTGATCGCCGACCCCGCGCGCCCGGGCTTCGGCGACGCGCTCCCCGCCGCAGCCCTTGCCGATGCCGACAGCCTCATCGTCCGAGGCGACCGCGGCCTCGCCTGTGTGGACGAGGACTGGCTCGCCGTGGAGAGGGTGCTGGACGAGGACCTGGACAACTGGAGGTTGCTCAAGTCGACGGGCGCGGGCCGCGACAGGCGGATCCTCGGCGACGAGCGCGTGGACGGGGTGCCCGTGCTCTCTCTCGCCGCCGCGGCGAGGGCCAGCAGCAAGGCCCTTTGGCCTGGCTGGCCCTTCCGCGGCGACGCCTGCGCCCCGGAGCTGGTCATGGCGCTCGTCGCGGCGGGGATCGTGTTCATCGCCCACCACCTGGGCTGGAGAACGAAGCTGGGGGTCAGTGCTACGTCGGGGGTGTGCCGGACGCACCGCCGCATCTGCGAAGGCCTCGACCAGGCCATCTGCTACGACCAACTCGACTTCGCCAACTGTGCGGTCGTCGAGCACCTCGCCCGCTGGCTCTACGAGGTGGAGTCGGCGGTCAGGAGGAACCCGAAGGTGCCAGACTTCACGAACCTGGGCGGCATCTTCGCGGCTCCCATGGCCGAGGACGGGCGGATGCAGCTGCCGACCTTCTCCAAGTGGGTCTCCTCGCTCCGCCGCGACGAGGCTCAGATCATGAAGCAGGGGCGGCTCCGGAGCGAAGAGCACGGCATCGACCGCGCCAAGCACGAGGGCCAGGACGGCAAGGGGCCAGGCCGCGACGGCGGCAAGGGCCCCAACCCCTCTGCCGAGTAGGGGCCCTCGGCCCCTGGGCGCCCGGGTCAACGGGGCAGGTCCTCTGGCGACGCCTGCTTCGACAGCGCCTGCTGCCCGGGCGCCCCCCTCGTCGCCATCTCTGTGCTGACGCTCCTCGTGGACGTCCCCTTGGTCGGTGGAGGCCCCGACGTGAGCTACGGCACAGACGAGCTTGGCGGCCCGATGATGCGGGAGATGGCCCTCGACCTGACCCCGCCGAGGACTACCGCACCATCCAGGGTCACAGTCACGGAGACCCCTTCCCCTCCCGCTGTCTGGGGAGGTGCTCGCGCGCGGCGGCCATGCTGGGCCTGCTTCGCGGTCGCGAGTGCGACGCGCGCGCGAGGCGATCTGGTCTCTGAACGCCCTCGACGCCCCATCGCGCGCCCTTCGGGCGCACCAGCCTTCTTCGGGCTGTCGCCTCACGGAGGCGCGGCGCTCGATCATCTCGCGCGTCAGCCGGCGCATCGAGAGCTACGGGGAACGACCCGACATCCTGCCCGCCACCGCCTACGCCGACCTCATCAAGAGTCACGACTTGTACTCGGGGCAGCCGATGAACCTGAAGCCGCGCGACCCCAGCCTTCTCAAGGTGCTCCACCGCGACCGACGCCCCCAGGAGCTCCGCGGCTGCCTGGGCACCGAGGGTCGCAGGTACCTTGACCGCGCCGGCGAGCTTATCTTCAGGGCTGAGGCCGAGCTTGACGTCCTCCTGGAGAGCGAGCTGATCCAGCCCATCACGCCGCATTGGGGCCCGATCCTGAAGAACAACCGCCGCGCCAGGATAGACTTCATCAAGCGCCTCGCCTCCGCAGGCCTCGTCGGGTTCAGGCTCTCCATCCGCGGCCGCATCGGCGCCTTCTGCGTGGGCAAGAAGGACGGATCCCTCGGCCTCGTCCTCGACGGGCGTGAGCCCTCGTCGCTCCACAGGAGGCCGCCCCACGCCGCCTTGGGATCCGCCGGGGCCCTCGCAGGGCTCGATCTCTCCGACCAGGCCCTGCGGCCCCAGGGCGTCGATCCCCAGGCGGCCGACGTCCGCGCGGCGGGCCTGGACCTGAAGGATGGGTTCTACCAGTTCGCGAACGACGACCTCGCGGACTGGTTCGGGTTCAACTGCCCCGAGGCCGCGTCCGACTTCGGCGACCCGCTGGTGCACATCCCTGCCGACGGCCGCTTCGTCCAGGTGTCGAGCGACACTCGGATCTTCGCGGTCTTTCGGGGTCTGCTGATGGGTTGGTCGTGGTCCCTCTTCTTCTGCCAGGATCTCTTGGAGGAGGCCCAGTGCAAGGGGCTTCTGAGCTTGGGATGTGAAGGCGGAGGCCGCTTGGTGCACGAGAGGTGCCCCGCGCCCATGCTGGCGCCCGGCTGTCTCCTGTCCCAGCCCTACGTGGACAACGCCAACGTCATCGGCCTCAGCCGCCGGGGCGCCGAGCACGCGCCTCGCGGCATCCAGCACGTCCTGGACTACTTAGGCATCGACTACCACGACCTGGTGGAGCCCACGAAGCTGTGCGCCGCGGTGGGCGTCGTGCTCGACACGGCTGCGCGCCGCCTTCTCCGCGCGGGGGCTCGCGCCTGGCGCCTGTACCTTGGTGTGGAGCATCTGCTTCGTGTGCGTCGTGCATCTGGCCGTGCCCTTCGAGTCGTGTGCGGCCACCTGGTCAACCACTTCATGATCACGCGGCCAGCGCTCGCGGCGCTGGACGAGGGGTACCGCTTCATCGCGCAGCATGGGTCTCGTGGGAGACCTGTCGGGGGCGTCCTGGAGGCAGTTTTTCTTGGGGTTTCCTGGGGGCCTCGTGGAGGGTTTTCGGAACCCTCTCGGAGTTCCCAGGGTGCTTTTTGGGGCAACCTGGGGGCATCTTGGGGCCGAAGGCTCGAAATGTCCGTTCGGGTTCCCTCTTCGGGGCCCCTTTTTAGGGCCATCCTGGGGCCCTCTTGGGCCGTCTTGGTTTTTGTTTTGTCCTTTTTTGGGCCCTCGTGGGCCGTCTTGGAGCCTTGTTGGGGGCCGCGTGGCCGTTTTGGGGGCGCTTCTGGAGGCCTCTTGGGCCATCGTGGTCGCTGTGAAAACCCAAAGAGCGAACGTGCTAAAACTAGACGTATTCCTAAAAGGGAATGGGAATAGGTTTGCTTCTCATGGCCCTCTTGGGGGGCCTTTTGGAGGCCTTTGGGAGCGTGTTGTCCGCATCGTGGGCCGTCTGGATGCCATCTTGGGCGTCTTGGCTCGATCTTTCGGCGATTCGGGGCCCGTTTGGATCGCGTTGGGGGGCCCTTGGGGCCATCTTGGCCCATTGTGAGGCCCTCCGTCCCCCGTGGCGCGCCCGCCATGGGGTCGTCCCGGGCTCGGGGGGGGGGTCGAACTCGCAGTTTGGGGCCTCTGGGGGGGTTCTGGGTGGGAACAATCTCACACGCCCAGAGGCCCACAAGGGGTCGGCGGGCTGCAGAGAGGGTCCAGGCGGGGGCCTCGAACGGACAGTCGAGCCCTCCGCCCAGGTCCCCCGGAAGCCCCGAGAGGCTCCCAAGAAGCCCCCAAGAGGCCTGAAGATGCTTTCGAGAGGCGTCCAGGAGGCCCCCACGAGGCCTCCACGAGGCCCCCCAAACAGCAATCAAACAAACAGCAAGTTTTGAAGGATTTTCGCGTTCAGGCCTTTACAGCCTTCCGACGGTCCAAGGCGAACCAGGGGCCTCCAAGATGGCACCAACACTGCCCAAGATGCTCCCAAGGGCGCCCCAACCCACCTCAAGAGTCCCCAAGAGAGCCCCAAAGGCCTTCCAGGAGGACCCTTGCACGGCCAAAGGCGGCTTCCAAAACCATGTGCTTCTATGCGAACCTCGTCTCTGGGGCGCGGTCTCTGTGAGAGGTGTGCCTGCATGGGCGGGGGACCCTAAACCACGCCTGTCTTCGGGGCCTCACGTGGAGCCCCGTGAGTTGCACGATCCGTGTGACAATATATGCCTTCCGATGCTTAACGCCTTGGTCCACAACTGGAGCCTGCTAGAACTTAAGCGAGTGAAGTGCGCGCGTGGTTCTAGTCAAATATCGCTGCGGTTCTCACGCCGCCTCGTGCAATATGTCCACGTACTCATCGACCCACGCCCCCGAGTCCAAGGTTTAGGAGAGAGCCTCCAAAGTGTCCTGGTCCCCACTTATGCCATATTGCTTGGTTTCGCGCAACCCCGTGCGAAGTCCTTTTCGGACTGAAGACGGGGAGGAGGTGAGAAGATGATGAAGCAGAAGGGAGTGTATGCTGATACGACATGTGCTGGGTACTTGTCACTATGCATGGATTCTGCTCTTGAGTTGTTACGCGGGTTACACTGCGACCGCGCCAGCTACCCTAACCTGTTGTCCAAGGTGACCCTCGCAAGAATTACATCCTCGTTGGCAGGTGGCTCATCGTAAACGTCACATGCTCAGAGAATGTGTATCACATCAGCTGTGCCACTGTTTTGGCAGAGGCGTCGTAGGAAGGGATCAATATCTTCCCGCGGCGGGATGAGTTACGGCGTCTGCATCGCCATTCCAAATAAGGCTGCCGTGCCACTTGGATGGAAGCCACTTGAACACATGCGTGGCTAGCTTGCCGCGCCACCGCATCTCCAAGGCAACTGAGGAGACCATCGTACTCGGGCGCGCAGTTGGTGCCTATGCCTCGGGATCTCCCCCAGGTTGCCGACGGATCGAAGCGAATCGCAAGAAGGAGGAGGAGGCAGAGGAGATTATGGGAGGGGTGCGTGGTGGGAGTGTGTATGGGGAGTTGGGTGATGACGATGAGGAGGAGGAGGAGGAGGAGGAGGAGGAGGAGGGAGGAGGAGAGGAGGAGGAGGGGGAGGAGGAGGAGGAGGAGGAGGAGGAGGAGGAGGGTTTTCGAGCCAAGGGGGCGCTTGGGCTTTGACCCTCATCGCGGCGCGGGCGAGGTGGGCGTGGCTTCTGGTGCTGGGTCGCGAGAGAGCCGCTGGCTCGGAAGCACCTAGGCGCCCCCCGTTTCTTCTCTCTCTGTCTCGCTCTCCGTCTCCCCCCTCGCTCTTGATCACCATCTGTCTCCGCCTCTCGCCATCGCTTCCCTCCACCACCTTCCCTTCCTTTCCTCCCTCCTTCGTTCACCGGGACAGAGGATTCGAAGAGGCCTGATAACACTCTACTCAGTGTTGTGGCACGGTGGTGGGCCTGCAGAGATTCTGGAAGCGCAGGCGCCCACTGGAGGTTGTGGCGGTGATGCGTGTACGACGGGGAGGTGCCTCGTTGCAGCGGCTTCGCTTGGTGTGAAAATCTTGTGGTTGCTCGCGCGCTGCCGATCACCCCCCCCAGCCAGCTGTCGCGCAAGAGGGTTCGTGCGGAGGGCAGCTGGACAGCGTATGTGCAGCAGGTGCAGACACCTTTGCATCCAGCAAGTGCAGACCCTTTCGGTCTTCATGAACCGGCGGTGCCATGGCACTGGAGACTGATCGACCTTGCGCGCGCCCGGTGGGGCCGGTGGACGTCCGGAAGAAAGGAAGAACGGCACAGCGTCTCTGCGTGGACAGCCTCGGCGTTCTTGGCTGGAGGGCGCGCCTCGGCGGGCGGGGCGCGCCCCGACGGGCCTCGGAGCGTTTCGCCGTGGCCCCGCCCTGCCCAGGCCCAGGCCCGGGCATCCACGGGACCCAGCCCCCAGCTTGCGGAGCCCAGCCCGAGCCCACGCCCAAGCCCAAGCCCTCAGGAGGAGGTCGAGGAGGAGGAGGAGGAGGAGGAGGAGGAGGAGGAGGAGGTCGAGGAGGTCGAGGAGGTCCAGGAGTTGGTCGAGGAGGAGGAGGAGAGGTCGAGGAGGAGCCCGAGTCTGAGCCCGAACCCGAGCCCGAGCCCGAACCCAAGCCCGAGCCCAAGGCTCGAGCCTGGCCCAGGCATCCACGGGGCCGAGCTCGAAGCTCTGGCCTGCAGGAGCAAGCCTGCGCCGGCATGCCGCCTCGGAGAGCCCGAGGAGATTGGCCGCGCACTGCCGCCCGGGTGTCGGGCTCTGGGGCCCTCCCGGAGGCAGGGTGCGACAGGCTCGTGGCGTGTACAGTGAAGACGCTGAGATAATGTAGGACCGCTTTGGGTAAGGCCGGTCAGTATCGCTTAACCGATCCCTATCCCCATCCCCGTTCCCATCCCGAGGCCCACCATCCGACCACCCCAGGTCGGGATACGCCCCTCGAGACCCGAGGGGAACAGCCTGTGTCCCCATCTGGGAGGGGAAATCGGCCAGTGGAGCCCAGGCCACGCTGGTAGGTTCGTCGGGGAACAAACAATGACATATGTAAACCCATGAACTCACAGGTTTGCGCGGACTCCTCGGATGGGCGCTGGGGGCCCCTGACGGCGTCAGAGGCGTCGCCCCTGGCGCGCTCCGCGCGCCAGGGAGGGGGGTCCAGCACCGATCCGAGAAATCCTCGCGGACCTCCGAGTTTTATGCTTATGTCGTTATTCGTTCCCCCAGTTCTTGCCGTGTACAGGCAAGACGCTGAGACAAGGACCGCTTTGGGTTCAGGAGAGGCTCTGGTTTTCGGGCCGTTCCTTAGGCCGACGGTCTAGGTCGTGGAGCCTACTCGTGGCCGAGGCTTGCCGTGGCCAAACATAGTCCTTCCCCCCTCCCCCTCCCCCTCCTCCTCCTCCTCCTCCTCCTCTTCCTCCTCCTCCTCCTCCTCCTCCTCCTCTTCCGTCCTCCTCCTTCCTCCCCTTCCACACTCCTCCTCCTCACTCCCACTCCTCTCCTCCTCCCATCCTGGCAGGAGAACCTTTGTCTCCACCACTGGCTGTCGAAGCCCAGGCGCCCGTCTTCGCACCGGCGAGGGGCAGGGCACCAGTCTCGTGGTGCAGGAGCTGGGGGGCATGCGGCCCTCCACGCACCGAACGCGTTCCACTGCTCGCAAAGTGCCCACTCGCAAACGTCCGAAAAACACATGTCACATGTTTGCCTCGATGCAGCACATCGTAAATCCCCCGCGGCGGATTCTGGCTATTTGCGAGGAGGTCCTGTGCGAGTAGTGGAACGCGCTTGGTCACTCACTCTTCATCTCTCCTTCCCCCTCGTTAGCTGGCCCCCTTCCTTTCTCCCACCGTGGAGCAACTCGGGGAGGCCCTCCAGTGATCGAGGAGGAAAGCATGCTCACAGGCTGGTGGCGTCGTATACATTGAGCTCGCGATTGTTCCTTGAACACTACAGACATCCCGCATAGTCAGGATGAGCGACTTTCCACGGCTACCCTTGCATCCTTGTCCCTTCGGCCCATCCTTGGTAGCTTTCGCTAGCCGCGCCCCACCTGCAGAGTGTCGACATGGCCTTCCAAGGCCCTTTGCATCCTTATCGTGCGTCCTTGTAGTACGGGTTGACTGTACCTTCAGTCGCAATCGCGTGCTGTTTTTTGTCCCAGCCGTCCCGTGTTGGGTCCTCGTTGCTCGTCGCGGTGGTCTGGGCGCTGCTGGTCGTGGCTCGTCACGCGGGCTCAGTCTTCGCCTGCACCCTCGCCTGCGCCCTCGCCGACGGATTTGCCTCCGCTATCGCTTCCGCCCTCGCCAACGCCGTCGCCATCGCCTACGCCATCGCCTGCGTCTTCGCCGCCCTCGCCGACGGCCTCGCCCACGTCCTCGCCTCGCCCTCGCCTGCAGCGTCGCCTCCCCGCGCCGCCCGCCGGGCGGTGGGAGATCACGGTGGTGGGGGGCGCGTCGACGGCCTCGTGGGGGAGGGCGGGGCCGCTGGGGTGAGGCCGCCGTCGAACTCGTGTGTTCGATCCGCTCCTGGCGCGGGCCGCGTTCCTGCCACTGCCGCGTGCAGGCTTCCGGGCAGAGGCGCACGGGACGCGGCGCCCCGTGGAGTAGCAGCCCTTCTGGCTTCTTCCGAGCCAGAATCCAGCAGGGCCGATGCTTCCTGTGGGCCAGAGGCCAGAGAAAGGGTTCACGCTGCTCACGAGCCAGAGGCCATAGGGGGCCACATGCGGACCCCACCCTTACCCCTACCCCCCACGATCTTTGAGGGGGAGGGTGGGGTTCGCTTCGCTCGTGACCTCCCGAATGAAGTGAACCCCACCCTCCGCCTCAGAAATCGTGGGGGGTAGGGGTAGGGTTCGCATGTGGCCCTCTAAGCCAGAAGCCAGAAGAGAGCATCAGCCCCTCTGGCTCCTCACTGAGCGGCAAGCCCAACAAAGAGTCAGCCCGTCCGGCTCGTTGATCCCACGCGCCAGCAGCCGGAGTCTCCCAGGCTTCGGGAGCGCGGCGCCTCCGCCGCGCGCTGCCCCTCGCCGTGCCCTCCCGCCCTGCCTGGGCGCCGTCCTCCCCTGCCCTCGGCAGCACGTCTCCGTGCCTCCCAGCTGGGATCGGAGCAGATCGGGGGTGGACAGACCTCCTGCCCTGACGCGTCGAGTAAGGAATTGGCCGTGTTCGGTTCGCGAGAGGGCGCCGCGGCCGTCATTTTCGCGGCTCCAGGTCCGTCGGTTTCGGTCCCAGGCCGTTTTCACTAAGGGGAGGTGTGCTAAAGGGAGGTTTGTCCACCGCCGAGTAGATGGGGTCGGAGGATCGCGCCACATCGCCGATGCCTCGCCAGTGCGGCTCGATCTGGAGCCCGATTTGCTTCACGCCGACGTCGCCGATGCATCGCCGACGTCGACGACGCATCGCCGGTGCACCGCCGAGGCATCGCCGACGTATCGGCGACGCGACCCATTGAGGAGGCCTCAAAAATCGTGGGAGCCTTGGTGTGCCCCCGTAGTTCCATCGTCAGAGTGTTCTCGCGTCGATTTAGCGTCTGGTAGCCGATGAGATAGCGCCGACTTAGCGTGCACGAGCGTCGAACAGCGTCGATTTAGCGCCGAGTCGCGTCGACCAGCGTCGACTAGCGTCGATTTCGCAAGAGCCAAGAAAATATGCGATGGGAGGCTCCCGTGCGTTGCCGCAAAACCTTCCCTCGTTTGGCGGGCTCTTCCGGCTTCGGAATAGCGGACTGCGAGCGACTATCGTGCAATTTGAAGGGATCGTGGCTTCGGGGGCGCGAGTCTCAAGTTTTTATACATGTCCCACGGCCCCGCAGGAATTCTGAGCAAGTGATTCGGGGACGCTAGAATGCTGGTTTGGGGCTTCCCCGCTTGCGCGGTCAGTAACAATTTACAGTAGGAAGTAGAAAGTAGGATTATACACTGGCAGACTTCAAACTGAAACTGGAACAGGGAGCAGGAAGCCTAATCCGCGCAGCCTGATGTCCATGCAATACGGCTGGCGGATTTGCAGGGGAGTGGCCCTCACCCAAATTCTATGAGACGCCGCTGGGAGTTGTTTCACAGCGTACCGTTCGGTGCAGCTGTGGATTGGCCAGCGTGCAGTTTCAGCCCAGTTTCAACAGCTCGCGCAAAACAGAAGAAGATGTCAAACATATCTTCCTTTGGCTCTCATTGTCTCCAAGGCAGTCCCAAAAGATGTGTGATCTGCTAGGAGCCGTTGGTCATGCAAGCAGTTGGGAGTGCACTTCATGAGTGCAAGTGCAACCGCTCGCTGCTCCAGGACCTGCCAACACTTAGTGCCACGCTGCTCAACGTCCAGTATTGCCCAGGGCAAGCCACGCACTTGTGTCTTTCTGAGCACTTTGCGGACTGCAAGCCTAGTAGCGCTGGAGTACGTTCTTACCGGCCGCGCACGTGTACAGCTACGGATGCCAGTACACTCCGTCGGCTCCCGCCTTTGCATCCGTTTAGTCGGCGAGGTTTCATCTGCCGTTCTCTCGCCTCTGGCCGCAGAGAGCATAGGTCGGTTCCCCACAAGTCGGGCAGTTGCGGCCGCTTCAGGTTGTCGATGCAGCGTCAGTCTCCGCAGTAATGGGAGTAGGTTCGCGCCTGCTAAGATTCGTGTTTATCGACTCCAGGCCAGGACACGCTGCACCCGCGCCCGTGCCACTTTACCGGAGCCGGGCCAGGACATCCTGCGCCCGCGCGAGTTTCCTTTCACCAGAACCTGCTGCCACGCGTCATCATCAAAGATATGGCCGGGCGTCTCCAGGCCCCTCGTCGCTCGTCTGGGGCCCGGGGGGGGGTCAAATCGCCGGTTTGGGGTCCCTGGGGGGGGACTCTTGGGGGGGGAACTATCTCACACGCCTCGAGACCCACAAGGGGTCGGCGGATATGGCCGGGCGTCTCCAGGCGCCTCCTTGCCTCCAGGATCGGAGGCGGCGCCCGCAGGACGGAGAAGCGCTGCGTGCACGCGGGGGGTTGCGCAGTGGGTCACGGTCAATGGGTCCTCGCCGCCCTTCCTCCGTCTGCGCTCCTCGCTCCTCTCTCCCTTCTCTTCCTGCCTTCCTCCCCCCTCCCTCCCTCCCTCGTCGTCGGAGCACGCCCAGCGCAAAGACATCTCCCTCGTCCTCGCCACTCCTTGTTTCCTCTTCTCCTTACCCTCCCTCCCTCCCTCCTTTCCTCCCCTCTCTCTCTCTCTGCCCCTGTCGCTCTCCCCATCCATCTGACTCCCTCTGTTTACCCTCGCGCACATCGCGGGCTGGACCTCCCGTCGTCTGCGAGCTCGGTCCTGCAGTTGCCCCTGGCCCCCCTCATCCTGCGAGCTGCTCCTCCCCGCTCGGAGGAGGGAGGGAGGGATGGAGGGAGGGAGGGAGGGAGGGAGGGAGGGAGGGAGGGAGGGGGAAGGGTGGAGGAAAGAGGAGAAGGAGGAGGAGGAGGGAGGAGAGGCGGAGGAGGAGGAGGAGGAGGAGGAGGAAGGAGGAGCAGGAGGAGGAGGAGGCGGAGGCGGAGGCCGAGGAGGCGGCGGAGGCGGAGGAGGCGGCGGAGGCGGCGGAGGCGGAGGCGAGGGAGGCCGGAGGCGGAGGCGGAGGCGGAGGCGAGGCGGAGGAGGCAGTGGCGTCGGTGGCGCAGGCCTCGGATGATGATGATGATTGATGATGATGATGATGATGATGATGATGATGATGATGATGATGATGAGGATGAGGTGATGATGAGGATGAGGATGAGGATGAGGATGAGGATGAGGATTGATGATGATGATGATGCTGATTATGATGTGATGATTATGATGATGATGCTGATGATTGATGATGATGATGATGAGGATGATGAGATGAGGATGGGGATGAGGATGAGGCTGATGATGCTGATGATGTGATGATGATGATGATGCTGCTGAGCTGCTGATGATGATGATGCTTGCTGCTGATGAATGATACTAATGGGGATCTTCTGATATTAACCTGCTAACATTAGTAGTAAACTTACTGTTAAGACACGAATGGTGGCATTATAGGTAGTAATCGTACTGCTAGGACTACTACAACTACTGTTACTATTACTATTATTATTACTACTACTGCTACTACTACCTCACTACTACTACTACTACTACTACCTACTACTACTACTACTACTACTAGCTACTACTACTACTACTACTACTACAACGACAACAACTACTACTACTAATAGTCCACTACTACACTTCTACGACTGTTACTTAATACTGCTACTACTACTATTGCTGACTACTACTACTACTACCACACTATTACCTTTACTACTACTGCTACTACTACTACTACTGCTGCTACTACTACTACTACTACTACACCTACTACTACTTCTACTACTACTACCACTACTACTACTACTGCTGCTGCTGCTGCTACCACTACTACAATACTAATAACTAGTGCTCAGACAAACGATAAGAGTAGTAACACTATCAGCAATAGCAACACTACCATCAATAGTAATACGACCCGCGGTAGTACGACTAGCAGTAATAGTGGTGATACTTCCAATGTTAATGTTGTTGCTAAATGTTGTTCTACATAATATCAACAGTAATACGACGAATATTTCTAGTGGGACAAATAACGATCAGAATAGCAACACTAATAGCAGTATACATAACACGATACTAATCGTCAGAGGAATACTGATAGGAAGAAGAAGAGGAGGATGACGAGGAATAGGAGGAGGAGGACGACTGCGAGGAGGAGGAGGAGGCATCGTCGCCCTCTCGACGCGCCTCGCTCTGGGCTCGCCCTTCGCTTTGCCGTGCCGGCCGCCGCCTGCTGCGGTTGTGTCGGCCATGCTTCGCTCACACTTCTCGAGCGTTGCTCACCTTCGCTCACCATTACCGAACCACCCCAACGCAACCCGAAGGCCAAATGTACCTTCCATTTCCAGTGGGGAGGGTGTTGGTGAACATTGAACATAACACGTGTGGAACCCGAACCCCCCCAAAATCGAAATTTGGGTCTTCGGGCCAGGTTTGGGTGGTCTCGTATGTAGTCATACCCTACCTGCGCTGAGACGCCCTGTCAGCCACTCGGCCCGCTTGTCCTATCCCATCGGCTCCCCTCCTGCTCTCCCTTTCCTCCTGCTCATCTTGCTCCTCCTCCCCCCCACTCCTTCGCCCGTCATCCTGCCGTTCCCGCTCCTGCCTGCCAGCATTGCCGTCGCTTCCCGTGTCTGCCTACCCTCTTGTCATCTTGCTCCTGGCCATCGTGCCAGTCGTCACTTCCGCCAAATGGCACCTGCCCCGCCTCCATCCTTTCGGACGCCAGGCAGCCATGTCGTTCATGCTACCGCATCTCCACTCGGGCTGGGCCGTAGACCAGGCGGCGATGCTCCTTGCAAGGGCGATGAGTAATGAGGAAGGAGGAGGAGAAGAGGATTATGACGAGGACGAGGAGGAGAAGGGTTGAGGAGGAGGAGAGCCCAGGATAGTAGAAGTAGAAGGGAGGATGATGAGGTAGGAGGAAAGGAAGGAATGGAGGGATGAGGGAAGAAGAGAGAGGAGAGGGTACTCTCCTGTCCTTTCGTCTCCTCCCCTCCCATCCTCCCTTCCCTCCCATCCCCCTTTTCCCTGCCCTCCCATGTGCTGGTCCTCTTCGTGCTCATCCTCTTTGTACTCCTCGCCCTCGCTCCTCCAACTTCCTTCCTCCCCCTCCTCCTCATCCGTCATGCCTCCTCTTCATCCGTTATCCTTTCCCCTTCGTCCTCGTCCTCGTACTAGTCCCCTTCCTCTCCATCCTCCTTTCCTCTCTCCTTCACCTGCTTCCCCCTCCCTTCTCCCTTCTCCCTTATTCCGCCTCCCTTATCTCTCACCTCTCGTCTCTCACCTCTCTTCATCCCTCTCCCTACCTTCCGCCCTTCCCTCCTCCTGCCTCCTCCCTACCCTCTCGCAGTCTTCGTTTTTGTCCTCGATCTAACCGTGGCCTCGCTCGTCCACCCAAACTTGCCACGAGCCACCCACAGGCCATCCTGAGTGAAGAAGAGCGTCTGGTGTGCATCCGCTTCGGGCACGACTACGATCCGGAGAGAGGGGACCCGGGCGGATGCGAGCCGGGGGTAGCGAGGATGTCCAGAAGGACGCCTCCTGACGGCCGCTAAGCGAAGGGCGGAAGGAGCTACCATGAAGAGAAGGGGTGCTGAGGCAAGGTGGTCCTGAGTCTGTTTCGCCACGTTTGGACTCTCTGGGCCCTTTTCGAGGCCCCAGGAAACGTCAAGAAGCAGCACAGGATGAGCTGGTCTCAGAGAAAGCCCCTGGTCCAGGAGCAGTTTCCCTCAGAACCCCTTTCCTTCATGCGAACTGAACTGCAGGAATCGAAAACTGGGGGGATCCTGGCGGACTTCGAATGTGTTCGGAGCTTTTCAAGATCTCGGGGTGTTTGCTTGCATTCTCGGGTCTCTACTTTTGTACAAATTCCTCGAATATTATATAAGCGGGAGGAGGAAGCGAGGAGGGAGGAATGAGGAGTGAGGAGGGATACCACGGGAGTAAAAGGGAAGAGGGGATGGTCGAGGACGGGTGAAGGGAGGAAAGGCACCTCTGATTGAGATGGGGTACATGGAGGAAGGTTGAGGTAGGCAGGAGGCAAGAGGGAGATGCCAGGAGGAGAAAGCAGGGAGGCGGAAACAGGGAAGAGGGAGTTGGGCGGAGTGGACGAGAGGGAGGAGGAAGAGAAGGAGAGAGAGAGAGGGAGAACGGATACCTACATACATTATATATACGTAGATGCGTGTATATATATATATATTTTTTTTTTTTTTTTTTTTTTTTTTTTTTTTTGTTTTTTTTTTTTTCACGCTTCGCGTATCCCCACCAGCCCATCTCAAAACAGCAACTCTAGCGAAGCATGCCGACAGTCGTGTTTTTCAGGCGTGTTTCCGCCTGCCCCCGCATATCTCCCCTGTTCCTCCTTCCTCCCGCCTCCTTGTACATCCTCCTTGTGGTGGGAGCGGGAGAAGGACGAGGCGGAGGAGGAGGGAGAGAAAGCGCTCCTCGTGGTTTGAGTCGTTTGGGGTTTCTCGTCCTGGTGTGAGTCGTTCGGGCCCTTCTTCCTGGTGTGAGTCGTTCGGGCTCTTCGTGGTGTGAGTCGTTCGGGCTCTTCGTCCTGGTGTGAGTCGTTCGGGCTTCTCGTGGTGTGAGTTGTTCGGGCCCCTCGTCCTGGTGTGAGTCGTTCGGGCCCCTCCTCCTGCCCGTCCAGAAACGACGCCCAGGCGAGTAGAGGGTCGTCCTGATGGGCTTTTCGGCGTCTTGGGTGCCTCGGGGGGGCCTCTTTGGGCCGTTTGGGATCCTCTTGGGGGCCTCCTGGGGGCCTCTTGGGGCCATCTTGGGGCCTCTTGGTGCCTCCTGGGCGCTTCTCGGGGCCATCTTGGAGGAAATCGATCAAAGAAGAGGGGAGCTTTAATTAGCTAGCGTTGCCCCCTCAGAAGGCCAAACTGGGGCTACAACCTTAGTAAAATCAATGATTTTGGCTTGAAAGAAGAGGGGAGCTTTAATTAGCGCTGCCCCCTCAGAAGGCCAAAATGGGGCCAAAACCGTAGTAAAATCAATGATTTTGGCTTCAAAGAAGAGGAGAGGTTTTTTTCTGCCTCCCCCCGTCGGGGCCAGAATCCTCGTGAGGGGTGACGTTTTTTGACCCTCCCAGGAGTCGAAAAAGACCCCTCCGGCCACCCGCGAAAGGACCTCTCCAGGCCCAGGGGGAGGGGGTAGGGGGAGGGGTAAACCCCTCCCCGAAGGGGAAGAAGGGGGGTTGAGAACAGAGAGAGCTCCCAAAACCACTCACGCCCAAAGGGCTGGTGGGATTCAGAGAGAGAGAGAGAGAGAGAGAGAGAGAGACATGCACACACACACACACACTATGTATGTATGTATGTATGCATGCATGCATGCATGTATGCATGTATGCATGTATGCATGTATGTATGTATGTATGTATGCATGAATGTACATGGATATCTATATATATATACTCATATATATAGATATATCTATACACATAAAATGGGTAGGGGGTCTGGGGCTCCCCAAAGTGCACTCATTTATCTTCCGGCCGTTTCGGGCCCGGCGGGGGGCCCCAACAAGTGTCAAAGGGGGCCGAGAGACGTTCAAGTGGGCGCCAAGATGGCCCAAGAGCGCTCAAGAGCCCAAGACCGCACAAGAGCGTTTCAACATTGGTCCAACATGGCTTGAAGACAGCCCAAGAGGGCTTCAAGACGGCCAACATGCTCTCAGAAGGGTTCCCACGAGGCGCTCAGGAGGCTGAACAAGTGGTTTGGTTCGAGTTGTTTTGAAGGTTCTTCGTGTTCGCGCTGTTTCGTGCTTCCCGCGGTCCAAACAGCCCACGAGGCCCCAGCAATCAGCTCAATACGGCCCAAGATGTACCCAAAGAGGGCGCCCCGACGGCGCAACAGAGCCCCAAGATGGCCCAAGAGCGACCCAAGAGCTCCTCCCGGGCGTGCTCATCCCCCGACTTGGTCTCCTCCAGGGCCCTGATGGTGCGCTTGCTTCTCGAGTGTTTCCGTTTAAGGGTCAATCGCGTTCTTTGGTTGCCCCGTTTGGACAGTGCGGGTGGTCACCTCCTCAGCAGATAGCGCGATCGCCAACAGCTTCTCTGAGGTGTAGACGGCGGTTCGGCCAAGAGCAATGGAAGGCGTCGAGTATGGACGTGCCAGAAGGGATTAATACGCTTCACGTGCCGAAGCTCACCGTCCCCGCGTCTTCCATGGTATTGACAGGCAACTTGACACGGAAAGTCGCCTAGGGCCGTCCCTGCCAACCGAGCGCGATCGGGTGCCGCCTCAGGAAGCCTGCAGCAACCTGCCTGCCTGCGGCACATCGACCACGTCATTGGCGTGCCTGCCGATCTGGTCGCACGGCTCCCACTGGCCAGGATGCCGCGCGATCCCCTCTCATACGACGCCACGTGTTTCTCGTGACGCGGGTCCCTGGACCGCCCGACCCCATCCGCGGGGAGCATTTTTTTAAGGGTATGTATATATATATATATATATATATATATATATATATAAAAATCAATTGAAAAATCCGGGCCGACCTCTTGTGGTCCCCGAGAGGGGTCCCCGGAGGGCAAGGTCAGCAAGCTGGCCGTGCCGGCTCCCTCGCGTCGCCAGAGCTTCGCGAGGGCCTGGCCCCCTGCGTTGCGTGGCGCCGATCACTTGTGCCCCTCTCGCTTTGATCCTGCCTCCCGTCGGCGTCACCCCAACAGATACTATATGTGCGTCGCCCCCCCAGGGGCGGCGCGCGCACCGAGAAATCTTGTAGTATATGTGTCGCGGCGGGCGCTTTCTCGCCACACCGCTCGGGAAAGGATACGCTACAAGATGGGTATACTATATGTTCGGGTTGGACGCGCGCCTCCAAGGAGAACAACATCAGGAGGGGGAAAAACACACAGACACAATTAATCGTCGACTCCCCAGAAAATCTGGGAAAATATGGGAAATGGGGGGAAGACAAAAACCCAGAAGTTTTGCGGAAATATGGGGAATCCTGTTTTTTTTTGTGTTTATTTATTTGTGTGTCTCAGTGCCCCTTCCATATAGTACTAGTATGTCTCTGTTCGTCCCATCCCGAGTTTGTGAGCAGGCGGGGGCCGCTGCCGACGCCCATCCGCAGCAGGGGTCGCTCCTGAGCCTGTGGCCGCGGCACGTCCCAGAGCTCAGCCCGTCACTTGGCGCACCTGAGTCAAGTAGGGCCTGTCCCTCTACAGGGGGAAGATTCAAAAATAGTCAAAAATAGTCAGGGGACTATTTTTTTAATATTTTCTGACTATTTGGGAGTACTTTTTTGGTACTTTTGATTTTTCGTCGAAAATCTCCCTGTAGGGGGACCCGACTTAACACCTGAGCCCAAATGGTTGCGCGTTCCTCCCTGCTCTCCCGGCTCGCTCCTCGTCCTCTTTCTCTTACTTCTCTTCCTCTCCCTTTGTTCCTCCTGCTGCTCCCTCTACTGCTTCCCCCCTCTTCCCTCCCCACCCTTCTTTCCACTGCTGCCGAGATTCCTGCTGCGTCTTCTTCTATGCCATCTCCTCTTCCCGCCCTTTCCACGGCAGTCTCGGATTGGAGAGCCATTCATTTTACCGTTGCGCCAGCTGCTTCAGCGACAGGAGTGCATGAAGATGGACGAGGTGCTCTATTCGGTAGCCGAGGTGCGGTTCTTTTTCCCTGTCATTGTTTTATCGGTCGTTGTGCACTTCAAGTGGGTTCCTCATCCTATCTCGACCACTGTATTTGTATTGATTCAAGTGGCTTACGCTATTCAACCCCTTGGGGTGCATCTGGGGGACTTTGCGGGGCTTCTTGAGAGCCTCGTGGATGCCTCTTGGGGCCTCTTGGGGGCGCCTCGGGGGCCTCAGGGGGTCTCTTAGGGCCATCTTGGGGGGAAAGGGTCGAAATGTCAATTGTTGACCTTGGGGAGCTGGCCCCCAGTCGCCGTCAATACTGGGCACGCTGTCCCCGCTGGGGCTGGACGCGACGTGTCTGATGGCCCTGGCCGTCACAGTGCTGTTTTCATCCTTGCCTTTGCTCGGACCCTGCCACGGCCTGGCGCGGTTATCCTGGCTCCGGTCCTTTCGTGACATCCTCGACTCACGCGTCCTGACCAGTACCGGCGCGAGTGCTTGCACTTCCCTGGCACTGGTCCCCAGACACCGCCTTGCCTGGCCGTGTCTGGCTCCCACTCTGCCACTGGCGCCGGGCTCCGTTCCCCTCAGCCCCCGGTGGGGGCGCCCGTCCCCTGGCCTCTGGCTCTCTCTCTATTCCGTGGAGCCGAGTGAGCCCTGGCGTTCAGGTGTCGCACGTTTTGACCAGTTCCGGCACGAGGGCTTGCACTTCCCTGGCTCTGGTTGTCAGCTGGCCACTGGCCCGCCGTGTCTTTCAGGAGTGGTTCAGCCTTCCTGTACGGCCTGGCGTGTCACCTGTCGGTCTGCTGCCCGGTCCTCTGGCGCCAGGTGGCGACAAGGCCTAATTCGCGTGCCTGGTGATTCAGCTCCCATGGTACTCTCACGTTGCAGCATCTTGGCAGCCTCCGCAGCTGGCAGTCCTCTCCCCAGGCGCAGCTCAGCCCCGGCGCGGCTGTTTCCTTCGGCGGTAGGTATTGCCCTGCTCGGCGCCCGCTCCGGCAATGAGGTTGTTCGTAGCCCGAGCCAACTCTGCTCACGCTGTTGGCGCCTTCGCCCGGCGCCGCGACGAAAAAGTATCCCCACCAGAATTAGTTCTGCTCGTAGCCCGAGCCGACCTGTGACGCTACCGGCGCCCTCGCCTGCGGTTGCGACAAAAGTATCCCCACCAGCTTTTTCCCTTCCTGGTCCTCCGCGGTTTCTGAGCCGCAGCGTAGTTCGCTCCTGTGCGCTAGGTGCGTAATTCAGGCCGTTGTATTGTTGCTTCGTTCTGACGGCGCGCGGCTGTACCGTTTGCGCTCGCGACAAAAATCCCCACCATCCGTTAGTCTTCCGCGTTTTTTGAGCCGCAGCGTAGTTCGCTCCTGTGCGCTCGGTGCGTAATTCAGGCCGTTGCATTGTTGCTTCGTTCTGACGGCGCGCGGCTGTACCGGTTGCGTTTGCGACACAAAAAGTATCCCCACAAACCCATCCAGCGACGATGGCCCAAACACAAGAACAAGGGGCGTGTGAAACCGTCCGACACCCCAGGAGGGGAGGACGGTAGAGGAGAAGGAAAAGGAGGAAAAGGAGGAGGAGGAGCAGGGCAAAGAGGAAGGATGATGAGACAGTGGACAAGGAGGAGGAGGAGGAGGAGGAGGAGGAGGAGGAGGAGGAGGAGGAGGAGGAGGAGGAGGAGAGAGGAGGAGGAGGAGGAGGAGGGAGGAGGAGGAGGAGGAGGAGGAGGAGGAGGAGGAGGAGGAGGAGGAGAGGAGGAGGAGGAGGAGGAGGAGGAGGAGGAGGAGGAGGAGGAGGAGGAGGAGGAGGAGGAGGAGGAGGAGGAGGAGGAGGAGGAGGAGGCGGAGGAGGAGGAGGAGGAGGAGGAGGAGGAGGAGGAGGAGGAGGAGGAGGAGGAGGAGGAGGAGGAGGAGGAGGAGGAGGAGGAGGAGGAGGAGGAGGAGGAGGAGGAGGAGGAGGAGGAGGAGGAGGAGGAGGAGGAGGAGGAGGAGGAGGAGGAGGAGGAGGAGGAGGAGGAGGAGGAGGAGGAGGAGGAGGAGGAGGGAGGAGGAGGAGGAGGAGGAGGAGGAGGAGGAGGAGGAGGAGGGGAGGGAGGAGGAGGAGGAGGAGGAGGAGGAGGAGAGAGGAGGAGGAGGAGGAGGAGGAGGAGGAGGAGGAGGAGGAGGAGGAGGAGGAGGAGGAGGAGGAGGAGCGGAGGAGGAGGAGGAGGAGGAGGAGGAGGAGGAGGAGGAGGAGGAGGAGGGAGGAGGAGGAGGAGGAGGAGGAGGAGGAGGAGGAGGAGGAGGAGGAGGAGGAGGAGGAGGAGGAGGAGGAGGAGGAGGAGGAGGAGGGAGGAGGGAGGAGGAGGAGGAGGAGGAGGAGGAGGAGGAGGAGGAGGAGGAGGACGAGGAGGACGAGGAGGAGGAGGAGGAGGAGGAGGAGGAGGAGGAGGGGGAGGAAAAGGGGCACCTTGGCGAACCCAGGGTCGTCTTTGAGCGTCTTGGGTGCTTCGGGCATCCTCTTGAGGCCTCTTGGGGGTCTCATTGGGGGCTTCTTGGAGGCTTCCTGGACGCCTGTTGGGGGGGTCTGGGCACCTTTTGGGGCCCTCTTGGGAGCTTGATGGGGCGCTCTTGAAGCCATTTTGGAAGACATCGATCAAAAAAGAGGGAAGCTCCAATTAGCCTCCCCCTTCGGGCGCCCCAAAAGTCGTCTCTTGGCGCGCTCTTGGAGCGTTCTTGGGTCTTTGGGCTCTCTTGGGCCTCTCCTGGGGCCCTCTTGGGCCATCTTGGGGCCATTTTGAGGCCTCCGATGGCTTTTGGAAGCGAAGAGGCGATAAAGCAAAAGCCATGCTCCTAAGGTGTTTGAAGGATTGTGGCCTCTCGGGGAGTACTCGGAGGTCTCGGAGGCCTCTGGGAGCCGCCTTGGAGCGTTCTTGGGGCTTCTTGGAGCATCTTGAAAGCCATCTTGAGGCATCTTGGGCTCCCTGCGGCTGTCGTGTGGGAGCACTCGTGGGCCCTATCCGAGGCAACGTGGGCCGCCTTCAGGTCATCTCGGACTGTCGTGGGGCCACCCTTGGCTGGCTCGACGCTCTGGGACTATTTCCCCGCTTTGTTTGGGGCGTCTTGGGGCTTGTCGGGGGCTTCTCGATTCCCTGCGCAGGCGTTGACGGGCTCGGCTTTCCCCCCAAGCGGCATTTTAGACAGCAGGGGAGGGTGAAACGGGCTTGTCACCCCCGGCAAGCGGGGGTCGGCGACTTCTTCATCTGACAATTGAGGTGGGACACGTCGCGACGTCGCGCCAATCGGTCAGCGTGATGATAAGCTAGATGGCACAGGTCTTGGCTTTTCGCGTCGTCATTGGTTTGTCGTTAGAAGGCACGTGGGGGAGCATGCGTGAAGCAACTCTCGACGGCATCAGCCAAGCCAAAATCGGCGATCCGTCCAAGCAGGTCGTCGAGGCAGCGAAGTTGCGCTGATATTCAGCAGCGCAGCGTATGCTCCGCAGGCAGTCCCGTCGCCCGGGCCTGCTCACCCCCTCGGCCTCCGCGGCCGCTCTCTGCTTTGCCGCCAGCTCTGGCGTGAACAGTGCCCGTCGCGGCCCGCTGGCTCTGCAGACGCGCTCGCGTCCGCCAGCGCTGCCGACCAACAGTTCCCTGGACAGTGCTTGCAGCACTCTTGGCCTTCTCGCTCGCTTCGGAAAGGACCGATGTGCCCCTTGCGATTTCCTGGTCTGCCGCCCATGGGGTCCCCCCTTGTCCCGCCTGCCTTAGTCATCACGACCTCCTGGCTGCCGCCCACGTGCGTGGTGCCCACCGGGTGCCGACCGGTTGGTGCCCACAGGGTTGGTGTCCACGTGGGTGCCCCCCCGGGTGAGTGCGTTTGTGCTTGGTGCCTTTTGGTGCCATACGGCTTGTGCCCCGGGTCGAAGAACTACGGCTTCAGGCCTCCAGGACCCAGGCGGGAAGAACATGCAGAGACACAAAGAAGCGTCGATTCCTGGGGGGATATGCGAAATAGGGAAGTGGAGGGGCAGACGAAAGGCCAGAAATCATGTAAACTATGGTGAAGCAATGTATTTCTTTGTATTTATATGTGTCTCCCTGGACCGATTCAAGATGGGGTCCGAGTAGATGGGGTCCAATGATCGAATCGCGTCGCCGATGCATCGGCAATGCGGCTCGATGCGGGGCGTGAATTTCCTCCACGCCGACGTCGCCGATGCATCGGCGATGCGACGCGATCCTCTCACCCCATCCACTCGGACCGCATTTGAGAGGCTTCTAATGATGCCCTGTGGTTGGTGCCGCTAGTGTCCCGTTGGCTTTCGTTGTTTGATGCCCTATGGTCGGTGCTCTATGGCTGGTGGCCCATGGTTGGTGCCCGATGCTTGCCCTGTGGTTGACATCGGGAATGCTAGGGCCAACTGTTTGGGGCCTACGCGTGCGATAATACTTTGATTTTGGCTTAGCTTTAGCTTAGAGGTGCCGTAGTTTTTTTTTTGTTTTTTTTTTTTTGTTTTTTGTTTTTTTTTGTCGGTGTTGTTTTTTTGCAACAGGTCGGAGGTTCGTGTGAGGCATATCGGCTTTGCTTCGTTTAGCTTGGCTTCAGCTCCCTTTGCGCACTAGATGGCCAAGTTGAGCCCCACTTTGGTAGGCTTGTTGGCCTTTTACAGATCTTCTCGGGCTTTCGATCAGCCTTTATGGACTTATGGGAGCCTTGGTGGCCGTCTTGGGACCATGGCTAAGAGGCTAAGACAATCGACCAAAGAGAGGCAACCCGCACACCAGTTCAATCAATCATCACTCCGCTACTGATTGTCCGCGATGCTTTTCAGTGTTTCGACCCGTACTCCACTTTGGAACGCATGTGTGTGGACCTCTCTGCCCGTGTTCTTACCAGGAGATCAAGAGCTTTTGCATTATCTACCTCGTAGATGTGAAAGAGGTGCCAGATTTCAACACCATGTACGAGCTGTACGACCCAGTGACTGGCAGTGGGGAACTCGCAAAGACATGTCCATGCGGGCCCAGCTTCCTTCTCCTTTTCGTTACCGAACAGACCGCGCCCTCTTCTGCTCACATTCCCAGTCCCCGCCTCCACGCGATCCGCCCACGCGACCCAACGCGGTACATGTCCGAATCTGCTTTTTGCTCTACTGCCTTTGGGCACAATCGCGCCGCGGCCACACACACGTGACCCCCGCATGGTAGAGTGAGAGAGCGTACGGCGCTCCTCCTCCCGACTCCCTCCGCCTTCGGCTCCTCCGCTCCCATCTTCCCCCTCTCATCCCTCCCTCTTCATTCCTCACCTCTCCCTCCTGGTTCCTTCCCCCACATTCCCCGTTCCCTCCCTCCCTTACTCTCTTACACACTCCGCATCCTCCGTCCTTCCCGGCCCTCCCTTCTCTGCGAAATGTGGGCGCACCAGTGTGCTGCATTGCCGCCGTAATTGGGAGGTGACCGTGATGTTCTTCTTCCGGAATAAGCACATGATGATCGACTTGGGGACGGGCAATAACAATAAGGTGACGCTGCGTACACATCTCTGGCCTGCATGCTAGCATCGTTGGCTCCCATTGTTTGCATGCTCGTTTTTCCGTGCGGCCACCTCGTCGACTCGGGTGGGAGCGCAGGGTTGTTTGGCCAGGTGAACTGGGCAATGAACGACAAGCAGGAGTTCATTGACATCCTGGAGGGGCGAAGCGGGGCAAGGGAGACGGGAGGGGGGTGGGGGCATCGCAATGGTATGAAGGGGACGGAAAGGGGGACGGGAGGGGATGGAACGGGAACCGGTGAGGTGGGAGCGGAGGGTTGAGGGTGCAATGGGGGGATGGCAATGGAGGGGAGCGGGGTGGGGGAAGGTGGGAAGGGAAATGAGGTGGTGGGAGGGTGTGGGGGGATGGAGGGGACAGGAGAGGAGAGATGGCAAGCTAGGTGCGCTCGTGTCATATTTGGCATCCTACCCCTCCCACCCATCCCTTCCCATTGCGCTGTTTTCCTGGCAAGGGCTCCCGCCCAGGGTTCTCTTTCAGTCTGCGGGCCACGGGCCCTCCAACAGAAGGGTGTCGAGCAGCAGGCTTTGGAATTTGACACGTAAAAATGCGTGTGCGGAGGGGGCGGTCTCCAACATGGAGGAGGAGGAGGAGGAGGAGGAGGAGGAGGAGGAGGAGGAGGAGGAGGAGGAGGAGGAGGAGGAGGAGGGGGAGGAGGAGGAGCAAGAGGAAGGGGGGGGGGTCTCGACATGAGTCTCAGCGCGCGTGCGTTCGGCATGTGCTGTTGCATTCTGGCCACGAGGGTGGCCGAGGCGAGGGGCCCACCCCAGCCCCGCCAGATCCTCTGCACGTGGGAACACGTGCTCGGAGGGCGGGGGGGGGATTGCAAAAACGAAGGATTGCAAAAACAAAAAACCAACGATTGCAAAAAAAACCCAGGATTGCAAAAGAAACCAACGATGGCAAACAAAAAACCAAAGTTTTTTTGTTTTGCAATCCAACACGAGTCTCGGCGCGCGTGCGCTCGAGAATTGGAGCCGCATGCGCCAGGGCCTCTTTCCGTCGTGGGGCGGGGCCCTCCGCCGCGGCCTCGAGGCTCCGCGGGGCCCGCGTGGTGGCCCCTGCTCTGCGGCGGTTGCGCGCTGCGAAGGATTGCAAAAACACCGAAGAATTGCAAAAAACACCCTCGTTCAACCGAAGGGTGTTCTTGCAATCCTTTGCAATCCTTCTTCTGTTCAGCGGCGGTTGCGCGCTGCTGGGTCGGCATGGGCGGCTTCGGATCCCTCCCCGCCCTTGGTGGGGCCCCCACGCCTCTCGCTCTTCGGCGAGAGTGTAGGGGGGGGGCAGGGGACGCTTTCCTTCTTCGGATTGCGCGCTGGGATCCGGGCTGCGCCTTCCCACATTTTGTTGTTGTTGTTGGTGTTGTTGTTGCTGTTGTTGCTGTTGTTGTTGTTGTTGTTGTTGTTGTTGTTGTTGTTGTTGTTGTTGTTGTTGTTGTCGTCGTCGTTGTTGCTGTTGCTGTTGCTGTTGTTGTTGTTGTTGTTGTTGTTGTTGTTGTTGTTGTTGTTGTTGTTGTTGTTGTTGTTGTTGTTGTTGTTGTTGTTGTTGTTGTTGTTGTTGTTGTTGTTGTTGCTGTTGTTGTTGTTGTTGTTGTTGTTGTTGTTGTTGTTGTTGTTGTTGTTGTTGTTGTGGTTGTTGATGTTGTTGTTGTTGTTGTTGTTGTTGTTGTTGTTGTGTTCTCTCTCTCTCTCGCACGGCGTGCTTGCCAACACGTTCCAACGTGGCCCATATTTATGTCTTTCCTTGTTGTATCCCTCTCTAGCTCTGTCTTTCTGCTTCCCCATTTGTCGCAGTCTTTCATGCTTGCTTTATATACCTCTCTCTCTCTCTCTTCCTTTCCTTCACGCATTCTTGGTTGTTGCATTTTTTCCCCAACCATCCTGTGGTGTTGGGTCCTCGTTTTGAAGAGACAGCGCTCCCCGTCCCGCATCCTCTTCTCCTCCTCCTCCCCCTCCTCCCTCCTCCTCCTCCTCCGCCTCCTCCTCCTCTCCTCCTGCTCCTGCTCCTCCTCCTCCTCCTTCTCCTCTCCTCCTCCTCCCTCCCCCCCCTCCAGCCTCCAGCCTCCATCCTCCATCCTCCATCCTCATCACCATCACCGTCACCATCACCATCACCATCACCACCATCATCATCATCATCATCATCATCATCATCATCATCATCATCATCATCCTCATCCTCATCATCAACATCATCATCATCAGCATCATCAGCATCAGCATCAGCATCAGCATCATCATCATCACCATCACCATCACCATCATCATCATCATCGTCATCATCATCATCATCATCACCATCACCATCACCATCACCATCACCATCACCATCACCATTACCATCACCATCACCATCACCACCATCATCATCACCTTCACCATCACCATCACCATCACCATCACCATCACCACCACCATCATCATCATCATCATCATCATCATCGTCATCGTCATCGTCATCATCATCGTCATCATCATCATCATCGTCGTCGTCATCATCATCATCAGCATCATCATCACCACCACCATCATCATCATCATCATCATCATCATCATCATCATCATCATCATCATCATCATCATCATGATCATCATCATCATCATCATCATCATCATCATCATCATCATCATCATTATCATTATCATCATTATCATCATTATCATCATTATCATCATTATCATCATCATCATCACCTGCAGCCATTTTGGCTCAAGCTGCTTCTCCACATCTCTCGCAGGCGCCCACGCGCAGCGGTCAGCGGCGCGCGATTTGGAGATGAGCAGTGGCGACGGGGGGCTGCCCGCTGGCGCGAGGGCGGGGCGGCCCATCAGGCGTGGCAGTGCGCTGCGCCGGAAGGAGAAGGGGACGAGTTTGGCGCTTCGGCGGCCCGCCGACGAGCTCGGGCACGGCGCCTCCTTGCTGCCGTGGCGGCGGCTGGCAAGGCGGCCAGCGGCGGTCCAGGTTCTTGTCAGGACCGTGAGGCTGCTGCGCGCCCTGCCCTGCGCCTGGCCGCCTCGGGATGCCGTGTCCCAGGCGCGACGCGGCGGCGGCGGAACGCCGCGTAGCATGCGCTGCTGGCCCCTGTGGGCGGATTCGCGCGCGCGCGCACGTCCGCAGAGGGCATCTCTCGGGCCGCGGCAGGCCCCCGTCTGGGACGGCAGCCAGGGAACCCCGTGGTGCTCGGCAAGGCGCCCGGCCACGCGGAGGACGGGATCGTCGACGACGAGGAGCCGGCCGACCCCTTCCAGGCGAGGATGGCCGCTGCGCGCACGGCTCGCTTAGCGGCGGGGCTCGTCGCGCAGCTGCAGGCCCTGCGCGAGCAGTCGCGCCCGCGGCGGCGCGCCGCCTGTCCACCACCCTTCACCCCCACGCTGGAGGTCATCAGCGAGGATGTCGGTGAGACCGTGGGCGAGGAACTCGGGTCCGAGGAGGAGGAGGAGGATGCGCTGTACGTTGCGTTCCCTGGCTTCAACGCGCACGCCGATGCGGGCCCAGCGGCCAGCCCCGACGGCGTCCCCGCGCTCGCCGAGGCCGCAACGGAGCTCGTGTAGCACGAGGGTTTGGTGGCGTACAGGACGTGGGTCAGCTTCCCCATAGACGCCTTCAGGGTCCTGTGCAAGTCGCGGACGGCCTTCGGGAGGTCGCCGACGCATCTTGTGCGGCGGCGAGTTCAGATCACGGCCGCTGGCCGCGACGAGTTCGACGACGAGGTGCCGCTGGCGGGGCTGGGCTTCGTCGTGGAAGGGCGCGTGGAGGTTGGCCCTTACTTGGAGCCGAGTGCTGCCAGCCAAACGGCGCCGCGCGGCCCATTGGTGTCATTCTGTTCGCCAGGCGGGTCCAAGGTCAAGAATGCCTGCGGCGAGCGTGCTGGCCCACTCTTGGGTTCGGCGCGGCACTCGGTCTTAATGAAGCTGTGGCACTTTGCGGCTCGGGACCCTAGGTCTGCCGAGCGCGGCGCCGTGCGGTCGTTGCGCCGGGCGAGTCCGAGGATCACGAATGCCTGCGACGAGCGTCTGGCTCGGCCCTCGGAAGGGGGAGGGATCCCGTGGCGTAGGCTGTACCTCGCGAGGCTCGACACGCGCCGGGGTTCACTCCCTCCCGCCCCTCTCAGGCTTGCTGTGCTCGTGGCGCCAGGCGGGTCCGAGGATCACGAATGCCTGCGACGAGCGTCTGGCCCTCGGAGGGGGAGGGGCCCCGTGGCGTAGGCTGCGCCCCGCGGGGCTCGGCGCACGCCGGGGTTCACTCCCTCTCGCCCCTCGCGGGCTCGTTTTGCATCATTGCTCTGCAGCTTGCTGCGTGCCAGCCCGCCTTTCGTGCGCATGCTTCTGTGGCGGGCTGAGGTCTCTGTCTGCCTGGATATGTCGATCGTCTGCTTCGGCCGAGGCGTCTGCCAGCTCTGGGCGCTCGTGAGAATCTGCGTGTGTGCGCCAACGCGCGCGTGACTGGGCGTTGCCTCCGCAGGGCCAAAGGGAGACGCCTCGGTCGGAGAGGCAGTACGAGCTAGGACCTTCTGACCCCTTCAGTCGCGGGGATCATCATCATCATCATCATCATCATCATCATCATCATCATCGTCATCATCATCATCATCATCATCACCGTCATCATCATCACCATCTTCATCACCATCACCATCGCCGTCGTCATCACCGTCACCATCACCATCTTCATCACCATCATCATCATCGTCATCATCACCATCATCATCGGCATCATCATCATCGTCGTCATCACCACCACCATCATCATCGTCATCTTCGTCATGATCATCATTATCATCACGCGCGTCCGTGTCATCCATGTCGGTGCGCCCCTGACACGTTTCATGGCCCCATGAGAAGATCAACCGAAGGCCACGATGACAGGGTTTGCATGGCACCGCCGCCTCCATTTCGGCACACCGCTCACAAGGTTCGTGGCCCCATATGGAGCTCCACCGAATGCCCCACTGGCAGGGTTGACGTGTGTCCTCCCCGCTCATGTTGGCACACCCCTCACACGGTTCGCGGCCCACCGAGGGCCCCAGTGGCAGGGTTTTGTTGCGTCCCTTCGACTCATGGCGGCACACCCTTCACACGGTTCGTGGCCCCATAGGGAGCTCCACCGAAGGCCCCAGTGGCAGGGTTTACATGTGTCACCGTGATTCATTTTGGAACACCCCTCTTACGGTTCGTGGCCCCATAGGAAACTCCACCCACGCTCCCGTTGGCCAGGTTTAAATGCGCCCCCGCGACTCATGTCGGGACACCCCTCGCACGAATCGTGGCCTCATAGGGAGCTCCACCGAATGCCCCATTGGCAGGGTTGACGTGCGTCCCCGCGATTCATGTCGGCATACCCTTCACACGGTTCGTGGCCCCAAAGGGAGCTCCACCGAAGGCCGCACTGGCAGGGTTTACATGCGTCCCCGCGGGTCATGTCGGCACACCGCTCACAGGGTTCATGGCCCCAGAGCGAGCTCCACCGAAGGCCCCAGTGGCAGGGTTTGTATGCGTCCCCGCGACTCATGTTTGCACAATCCTCCCACGGTTCGTGGCCCCATATAGAACTCCACCGAATGCCCCAATGGCAGCGTTTACATGCGTCCCCGTGATTCATTTCGGCTCACCCCTCATACGGTTCGTGGCCCCATAGGGAGCTCCACGCAAAGCCGCAACGGCAGGGTTTAGATGCGTCCCCACGATTCATTTCGAGGAAAACGCGTTTGGGCGAGGCCCCTGTAACTGTTTACGGCGCGAGGCACGGGGCTTTGGGCACCGCGGCCCACCCTCCTCCGTCTCATCGCCATCGCGGCACTCGCAGTGCATGTGGTTGGGTTTTTCGTCAGGCTAATTTTTCCCAACCAACCTGTGGTGTTGGGTCCTCGTTCCGAAGAGAGAGCGTCCCGCGTCCCACCTCCTCCTCTCTCTTCCCCCCTCCTCCTCTCCTCCTTCCTCCCTCCTCCTCCTCTCCTCCTCTCCTCCTCCTCTCCTCCTCCTCCTCCTCCTCTTCCTCCTCCCATTATCTTCCTTCCTCATCCTCATCATCACCATCACCATTGTACTCATCACCATCATCATCCCATGCGTCCGTGCCATCCATGTCGGGACACCCCTCGAACGTTTCATGGCCCCACGGGAAGCTCTGTCGAAGGCCCCAATGCCAGGGTTCGCATGACACCGCCGCCTCCATTTCGGCACACCCCTCCCACGATTCGTGGCCCCATAGTGAACTCCACCGACGGCCCCAGTGGCTGGGTTTACGTGCGTCCCCGCGACTCATGTCGGCACACCCCTCACACGGTTCGTGGCCCCATAGGGAGCTCCACCGAAGGCCCAGGGTTTACCTGCGTCCCCGCGGCTCATTTCGGCGCATCCCTCACGCGGTTTGTGGCCCCATAGGGAGCTCCACCGACGGCCCCAATGCAGGGTTTACATGCGTCCCCGTGATTAATTTCGGCACACCCCTCACACGGTTCGTGGCCCCATATGGAGCTCCACCGAAGGCCCCAATGGCAGAG